TTTGGAGATAGTGCACAATTTAAAACATATTTGTGTTATCGTGTATTATTCAGAACCTTCACGTGATCGATCTAGAGTTAAAGGGCGGCAGTCGTCGCTCTACGCATGCGCGATATATGGGTCTCATATAAACAAATATGGCGCCTTTGACTGTTGTGCAGATCAACGAGTACAAACTGAGACGTTACCAAACTTTAGATATTTTTTTTAGGTGATTAGTATCAAAGGAGTCGCCAGTGGTAATTGCAAGTGCAAGTGGCGCCCCGGTCACTGGCAAACCTCATACTTTTGATTCCATTAGAAGAGCGCATTAGATTGTGGGAAAATCAATGCCCTTTAATGGGGCTCGTTTTAATCATAGACAGTTTACTGTCTATGTTTTAATGCATGCGTCATGCTATTCTGCCAACATTCAGTATCTATGTATATTCACTCATGGTTGTAGTACTGTGCCTCGCCTTTTTTGGGGGTTTTAACATCAAACGCATATCTATGAATGAGTTATTATATTGGTGTATTTATTCCCGGTCAATCAAATCGGTGTCATCGTGTCATGTAGATTTGTTATTTTGTGGTCAAAATACAGACAAAGCTGGTCTTGAGCACTTACAAACGTCGAGTAACTCTTCTACTCACGCAAATATAATAACACTTTCTAACTATTGTCTCGAAAATTACTTATAAACATTACAATATTCCATGTCAGCGTCAAAGCCATTAGCAACATTGGCAGACACTGACTGAGCTCAGTGCACGACTGAAGCGTGCCTCGTACTCATGCAAATACACCCACACACACATACAACCACCATTGCTGACAAAATGCTTCCATGCACCACCCAAGGTCATATATTAATATTGAATTAGTTTTGTCTTTCAAAACATCAATTTAATTTTAATTGATATTCATAGAGGTCGCTACTGTGGTGTAGATCGATGTTTGAACTTTGATGGTTTATTCGAATTTATTCACTTTCACAGTAATCAATGTGTTAGGTAAAAAACTGATTCACATTCTACCTTGTAAGTTGCAGTGTTTACTATGGTGTGTTTGGAATGGCATGATTATAATCATCTGTGGAGGACAATTAATTATTTTTGTGGAATTTAAGAAATCTCAGACAACTAATAAACTGACTGGCGACGCCTATTGTTTAAGATATTAATGGGCTTAATTCTATATGCTGTGCGTGCCTCGCTTACTTGTGTTGACGTTTACATAGACACCGTTGAAGTTTACCGATAAGTATATGGCACCAATGCTATAAAGCACTAAGATGACAATTCAAATGCTTGGGGATGATCTTTAAGCACGTTTTATTCCAAAGCGTGCAGAACAAGTTCAAAAATAGCCTGGGACCCCATGTATCCCTTCCAAACCCCCAATTCAAACTACAGATTCCAGCTCCCGAATCACACAAACTGACACCATATATACAGAGTAAAAAAAATCCTTTAATTCCGATCACATATCTTGCCCAGTCCACATGCCACCAGAAAAAAAGTAAGCAAAAAGACTTGTTATTTCAGTCTCAATTGGCAGTGGTAAACGCTATAACTGATATATTCATAAATCTTTGAAATATTTTGTACACATTGCAAGACTACCAGGCAGGTTAATACAGCTACACCAGAATACAACACAAGTAATAAGCTATATTCGTAGCATGTCATACATTATTTCTATGGCATATCATCATGGCAACTATGCTTTGATACATATATAAAAACTAAATAAAAATCTACAAAATACAGTTTGCAGATAATAACAAATTTTGAAAATAAATTTATCCTTTCTATAAAAATTCATACTTTGGTTACAATACAATGTGTATGCAACAATCATAAAAAAAAATAACAGACAACACATTGCGTTTCTGATATCAACTTCAAAGTACACCCTCTCTGGCAAATGTGGTTACAATTATGTGATATCTCATAAATGAGTTTAGAACCAAATTGAAAAATTAATTTGAGTTCATGCTACGAGGATTCAAAAATCAAAAAAATGTGTATACCAATTTTTAATAAAATAGGTGACTGGTTTCTATAGTACTCTTTCATCATACTTAATAATATGGCTCCATGAGATTGGCTGAAAAAAGTTGAATTTTGTTATTTGATTTTTTTTGAATAAAAAAATTTTTATTTCCGAAATATTCAATAGGGACTTTTCTCCCACAATGCATTGCCATATGCTCCGTGAACTCACAACTTGCATTTGTCCTCAGTCGTTGAATTTAAATTCTTTCATAAGGTAGAAGATTTTTGTTTAAAAGAAAGCAATACAGTATGACCCCAAAACCTGTAGTCATTTAAAGGGCAGTGGTAGTCATGCCACACATGTGAAACAAGTGCCATCCACAGTGTGAACACTAATGACTGCCGGCAAATCTTTTGTACCTTGCAACCACCAAAAAAATCACCTAGGTAAAGCTAAGTAACTTATTAATTTGCACTCATTGGTGTGTGCAACATTCAAAGACACCATCTTTGTTCATATACGATACCCATATCTTGTACATGTGTGGTGCGACAACCACTGCCCTTTAATGCAAAACATACGTCTCTAACCGCAACTTTTATCATATCACACATTTGAAGATTTTGTGAAATATGTACAACTGGTAAAGTGTAACAGATTTGAAGATTTTAGTGATCATAACATGATGAGATACAAACGGGCAACGGGAAGATTTGGTATCAAATGGTACGGTTTGGATGATAATCAGCTTCATCAACAATGAAAAAATCAAAACTTAACAATGGTATTGTAAGGGTTGATGAAATGTGCAATATAAAAGTTAACATAGCATAAGTGGCACCACCAATGGCATTGGTCATCACAATTGCTTGTGTTCAATATGGAGCCAATATACTGGTAGTAGGCACATATGTGGGTCAAGGGCCGCCGATAAGAGTTGAGAACAAACACACCATATTTAATAACACTAGTTTGTAACTGCAAGAAAAAATACCTAAACTTCAAATACTTTGGACAGACAAAAACCCTTTTCAAATTATCTCTGTACATCCCAGCGTAGAAACAGAAACTAATTATAATCACAAGGCATGAACTCATACAAATATTTAACATTACAGTAGTATCAGCTTTCTAATCATCGGTGTCCAATGTGTACGCAAGACCATCATTCAAATAATAGCAGATAGTACCACACCTTGCCAAGCTTAAAGGCTTGTTGATCCATGTATCATATGGTCTAAGTCCAAAGGGTGTATACACTCCAAGTAAATATATACATGTATATATAATACTATTGCAAAGTATCTGAATGAGTGGCTTTGTACATTCAAGCATAAACCACTTGCCAGCCTGGTAACAAGGATATATGCAAGCATGTGTTAGCAAATTAATTCATATACAGAGTTGTCGTCATGAAAAATCAAGTAGTACAGACAATATAATAATGCTTACTATCCTCTTTTCAGATCAAACCATATTGAAACAGATATTCACTATTAATATGTCTTAACTCTTTTTGGGAATCACAAACTAGTATTGTATACTATAGTAGAGTGCTGTAATATTAAATTAGCTAAGACACAAAGATGATATCCGAGTCATCACTCTCACTATCCTTATCAAGTCGAACTTTCTTATGAAATGGACTCTTAACAGATTTTCTGGCTCTCTTCTTGCTTGAAACTTTAGAACCGTAGTAAACCACATCTGGGGCTTGACTATCACTATCATCTGAATCAATTACGATAACTGATTTCTCTTTCTCTACTGGTTTACTATTTATTTTAGTTGAAAAGAGAGGAAATGCTCGCATACCATGCACCTTACACTGTGTTTTCTGCAGTCGTCGCTGTAGATCTGGTCTGGTTTTCATGCTCATTCTGGTCGTGCTCCTCACAAATTTTTTAGGCAATATGCTATTTGCAAAAGAGTTCTCCGAGGAAGTTGACTGACCTGCGTCATCGTCATTAGACAAACAGATAACATCTGGCTTTGGTGGATGGAATACATGGGAATCAAACTGATTCATAGTAAAATTTGTTCTTAGTGCTGAATCTAGATCAGGGGTTAATATTGGATTATTGGATGATACTGCTGGTTTTTTTTTGAATAAATCAAAAACGTCATCAGTTTTAGGTGTAACTGAGCCTTCCGATTCCCCAAAATAAAGTTTGCGAAGACTTCTGATTGGTCGAGATTTCCTGAGACTGACATCGTTCTCTGAATTGTTTTTCTCACTGTCTGCATCTGTACAAGGTGAGGTACAAGTAGAACCACTGCTTCCATCAAGCTGACTACTATCACATTCATCAAAAGATGTGTCATTTGTTCTCTGTCTTTGTTCGGCTGACATGGACAGTCTGACAGGAAAAACATTAAACTTAGACTGTTTTTCTACCTCTAATGAATTATCTCGTACCAAACAAGGAGAGTCAGACACTTGTGGTAACTGTAAAATACCAGTATGTTCATGCCGTCTACTACTCGGTGTTGGCGGTGATAACGATGCAGTGACCCGGGATGGAGATGGAGGCATACAGATTCGGAATGAATTTAAAACGACATCAGTTTTCTTCTTAACTGTACTTTTAGCTTTATCTGAAATAAAATGATAAATAGAATGGCAATTAAAGATTCTTCTATGTTGGTCTGACCACCTGAGAACCCAGATGTCCGACTCACACTTACAAAATTTGAACACTGTAGGTAAATGTATAGGGAACCAAGATGAAACAGCATACTAGTATTTGCTAAAAGTTGTGCATCCCCATTTGCGCCATCACTTGCAAGACGCATGTCTTGCACTGTATACGACAACAAATGCTGTTTGTGATACTGACAAACCAACAACACATATCACAGTGTTGTTGTGTAGTATCATGGCTTGGTAGTATCTTGGTTTTCTTACATTGTACATTCATGTATATTTCTACTTTGAAAATATTAGAATTAGAATTTTCAATTTTGAATGAAAACTTAGAATCAATATTAGAAATTGGAATCAATATGCATATACCGTACTCGACCGCGTTAGCGCCCATGCCCGGGCAAGCGCCCACCCCCCACTTTTGCGCAATTTTTATATTTGGGGTCACATTCGGCAAAGCGCCCAGCCCACCCCAAAATGCAACTAGTTTAAAACTTGGTCTTGTAACGAATCTTGATAATCGTTTTTATATGATACAGCGTGGATATCGACCGCTGTGAACATGTTGTGAATGCGTAGAACATGGTAACCGTGCGTAAACTACGCTTCAACAATGACCTGTTAATACAAGTAAAATGCGGTAAATATTTCATGCCATATTCAGTTTACCTCTCAAAAATGGCTAGTTACTAGTTTTTTGGAAAAACCATGTCGTTTATTCGCTGAAATAAATTCCAACAGATCGTACTTCAACATTGATAATTCACTTCCGCATTGCGTTAATAAAATGTGCATATTTGTTGTGATCATTTTTGTTTCTTCCTTGTGAAAATCAATGACGACTCCGTCAACTAATTTCGTAATTTGATTTTCCCTCAAAGACGTATTAAATCTGTCACTTGATGAATTAAATTTTTCATTTGCACTCTTTTTCGAGGGGGGTGCTCGGGTAAGCGCCCACCCCTAAAAAAATCGTGATTTTCTGAGTTGAGGCCCCTGGGCGCTAACGCGGTCGAGTACGGTATTTCAATCAAACACTAATCAGGTCTGTACATTCCCAGAGCATCCGTGCACCAAATTTCACTGATAAGTAGTTCCTGAGATATCAGAGGAAATGTCACATGTACATATACAGGCCATCAAACCATATATTGTGAACAAAACTTTTTATTGTTACTACCGTAAAATCTGTATTAGAAGTCGCATCCCTAATAGAATCCCATTCTTTTTGAACAATTGAGACCCACAAATTCACCATTTCTCATATGTGTAGATTCTCTAATAGAAGCCGCATCCCCTCTATTGCATTGTACCATTTTAATAGAAGCCGCGGCCTTTAATACAGATTTTACAGTACTACTTTATTTTCTTTTAGAAGCACATCTCCAATCCAAGTACACATACACTAAAAATTAGTTATTTTATGCTGAATTGAGTTTTAAAAAACCACATCTGTCATTCGTGTAAAACACAGGTGCTACTAATCAAATACAGTATTAGAAGCATATTCACTCATATCAACATCTTGGATGTGCTTATATATTGGTGTTAATTTTTATGTAATTTTTAGTCTGAGATGGATGACATGTAAAGTGTTCAATGATAACAGTAACAGATCCACAAGGACATCAGTCAGTCTACTCACCTGGTTTAAAAATGGTTGATGTGCACTCCAAACACACCCATTCAACCATAGCAGTTTTAAACCCAGAACATTCAATATGTGTACCCGCAGACCCACACATGTGACACAGGATTATTTCCCACTTACTGAAATAAAACAAAGTCATGTGTAGTTACCATGGATACTGTAAGTGGACAGTCTCCATTTGTTCTTTGGCGAAGGGACTTCTAATATGAGAAACACTTTCACGAAAGTCGCTAAAATTTTCTTGCACAATTACAGGGTATACAATAATAAAGGATAATCAAGAATAACCCAGGTAGACCCAGACCATTGTCGGTTCACTTAGCTTTGTATTCATCCACAACCATCTCTCCATGAAAGGTGTTCACCAATATGATTGATTGTTACAAATATAGCAAACTCCTAGTGCAGAGTTTGTGATAATTACTGGTACAAAAAATCAGTATCATTTATTTGGATGTTTACAAGCCCTTATTTTTACCATCATCAACAGGGATATACAAGTCTTGCAACTGTTTTCTAAATTACCTACATGTAAATCATATTTGATCTATCCATGACGGTAAAAGATCTACCAATGAGACAACCTGGAGTACTGTGCTGGACACAAACAAGATATGACCTCTTATAAGATGTACCAATGAGACAATCTGGAGTACTGTGCTGAACACAAACAAGATATGACCTCTTAAAAGATCTACGTACAATCAGACAACCTGGAGTACTGTGCTGGACACAAACAAGATATGACCTCTTAAAAAGATCTACCAATCAGACAACCTGGAGTACTGTGCTGGACACAAACAAGATATGACCTCTTAAAAGATCTACCAATCAGACAACCTGGAGTACTGTGCTGACAACAAACAAGATATGACCTCTTAAAAGATCTACCAATCAGACAACCTGGAGTACTGTGCTGGACACAAACAAGATATGACCTCTTACCTTCTTATCTTGCTATAATCTCTACCTTGTGGACATAAACACTCAGTAACATCACAATTATTATGTCTCTCTAGTAAATCTTGAAATGCATTGTCTTCCAGCTCCCATGATGCATCTCTGTTAACATAAATGGCAATCATCATTGTGGGTAAGATGGGTAATACTAACACACAACTGATAAAAGTTTCCTGAAATGTTTTTCCCTATGACTGACTGTTTCCAATAAAAATGTTGTCTTCAATGTTCATAAACCTCTGTAATTGATTTCTAACTTTACTTGTAATATTTATAAACACTGCTCTGAATGATTTGCAGCAGTGTAGACAAATTATAAACTTTGAGCGGCTGAAATTGAATTCTGTCACTTTTAGTCACAGAGATGCTGAAACTGCCTTCATTGAATAATTGAAGTAGACATAAATCCCATGACAATGTTCATTAGTTTTTTTATTATGTACAATCATGAAGCTAATGTCTCATGGTACAATGAAATAGCACTTGTGTGTTACAGTTAAGCTTTTTGAGTAAAGTGCTCGAATTATTTTTGAAAATCATTATTTTTAGAACAATTCCATTATAGAATGTTAAAGAATTTTTTTTTTACCCTTTTTAAAACCCAGATTTTTTAAATAATTCAGAACAACAAAAAGTACTACATCATTAACAATATATGATTTTTTCGGTCTATGTCACCAGGCTAGATTTTGAGATATTAATGGTTGTATTTTAGTGGAAAGTTGCCATTTTGACAATATTAGAATATTACCAATATCTCATCCTCATCGGACCCTATGGTAAAAGCATTATAATAGTGTCAAAATGCTGACTTTCCACTAAAATAAAACCATCAATTTTTCGAAAATAAGACTGGTGATCCTTAACTTTTTTTAACCTTATACTGCCTCGTAGGACAGTTTATTGTAAATTGAATAAATTCTGGGTATTTTACTTTATTAGTAGGTTTCTACCTTAATGTTATTTACTACAATGAGGAAAACAAATCAAGTTGACTTTGAAAACCAAGTACAAAGCAGTTCATTGTAAAACTTTAAATACTGAATTACATAAAGACACAGCTTTGAACATACTACAGAATTGTCTGTTTCAATCTAGTTTTAATGACTGCGTCTAAATACACTGGATTTTCAGACACCAACAGCGCTTGAATATCACCATCACCATATGATTTTTGGTTTGCATGTATGTGCGTATCTATGTTGCCGATATTGGTGTCTGCAATATTTTAACAATAATAACAATAAATGCAATGTATGTGAACTTACTAGGTAGACTCAAAGGCAATTACAGAATTTTAAGAATACTGGAAATAGCATTTTAATTCAAAGTTTTATTGTGATAACTAAATAAATTTTCACTAGTTACCTGCCTATCCATTTCACGATTTATCAACTAAAGTATATAAGAGTAAAGCAAACTGATCTTTGATTATATTTAGCAATCACTTGCAAACATAAGCATAGCAGTGCAGAAACCAATACAGAAGATTTTTCACTTGTAAATCATAATGTAATAACAGAACTAAGACTATCTGTAGAAGATTAACATGCATGACTTACTGTTCTGGAACATAAATACCAAACTGTATCATTTCATGCTGAAAATCATCTTTGTTATTACAAGTAGCACATCGAAAAAAGTAACCAGCATTTAAAGCTTGCCTCTGTCAAGGAAAAACAATAAGAATCAGTGGATGAAGCCAATCAATATGAAGTAGCAACAAGTAGATGTATCAAACTGAAAACACGCTTTTATTTTCAAAGACTTTTTTTGAAATTTGACAAAATCACAACATTTTCGAGCATTGAAAGTGCCACTGGGGTTTCTTTGTAGACTATCATAAAATGTCCTCGCAAATGACCAAAAAATATTTGCAAACATTATTTTTCCACATTTTGATCATGCCAGAAAAACATCTGGTTGACTCAACTTAGTAACTAGTAATTAACAAGTAGAAGTTTCTACCCCTAAAGTTTGTTGACTGATCAATGAATGCGATTGGTGAAACTGCACATAACATAATATATTAATATGCAAATACAATGAATGTTATTGGTGAAATCCAATCACATGATATGCAAATAGCCATGGTACTAATGCATCTGAACACTGATAATGTGATTATTTACCTGCACACATTCTCTGTGTATCCATGTGTTTTTACAACAAGGAGTTTTCAGTACATCATTTGCTGGTATACAACTCACTTTACACATACATATTGGACACACACATTTTTTCTTGGATACAGTTGTCACCACTTGTTGAGGCCTATGCTCTTTACAATATGAACTAAAAATAAAACAATTCACTACGTTCAATTACCCACCATAGACTCCGGTCAGTCAAAATGACTATTTTGAACTGTAGGCATTAATAAGCGATTCTGCCGGTGACGGAGAGATAGAATCCAGGTCAGGGGAAGCCCCATGACCTCAAGATTCTTTTACCCCTTACGTCACGAACCCACGTGACCGAGGCCACCTGGAAACGCCACAGGTAGCCGTCCATCACTCTTAATTTCTCTCCGCCTCGAGT